CCTGCAGCCCTCTGCCGGCCTGGCTGGGGGGCCGGCCTTGGGTCCCCCAGGTGGCCTAGGACTCGCATGGAAGGAGTAGATTCCTATGGCCTTGAGTGGGGTAGTGCTGCCCCGGGAGGTCCTGGGTGACTGTGGGTGGCCCCGTGGGGCTGCTGGTCACCCTGGGTTTGCCTTGCAGGTGATGCGCATGACCCTGTCCACCCTCAACTGGCGGCGACGCGAGATGGTGAGGTGGCTGGTGACCTGTGCAACAGAAGTGGGTGAGTACCTGCTGCCTCGCTCTACCAGGGGAAACTGGCCTGCACATGGTGGGAGCAAAGTCCCAGGAGCAGTTTATAACTTTGGGGCAGGGTGTTGGAGGTCTCCTGAGCTTTCTTTTTTCTTGGGCAACTCAGTGCACCCCCCAGAGCCATAGCAAGGAATGAATTTGGGTCTGGGACAGGTTCCCCCAAGTTGGGGCAGGCTGGAGCTGTTTATTCTCTCCTACACCGTGCGGCATGGCAGTGCAGGGTGGCATCCGTGTGCCCCCCTCCAGACCTCCAGTCCCTGTGGTAGCGGAGGCCATGGCCCCAGCACTGCTGGGGACTTGCTTTTCCTTGGCTGTGGCTCCAGGATGGCTCTGGATGTCTGGAAATGCAAGAGAAGCCTCGTAACCCAAGCTGGGTGCTGGGCCTCTGCCGTAACCCCTGTTTCTCTTGCAGGAGTGAGGGCCCTGGTGAGCATCCTGCAGAGCTGGTACTCTCTGTTCACCCCCACGGAAGCCACCAGCATCGTGGCTGCCACAGTGATGTCCCACAACACCATCCTGCGCCTGAGCCTCGACTACCCGCAGCGCGAGGAGCTGGCCAGCTGTGCCCGCACCCTGGCGCTGCAGTGCGCCATGAAGGACCCCCAGAACTGCGCCCTGTCGGCCCTGACGCTCTGCGAGAAGGACCACATCGCCTTCGAGACCGCCTACCAGATCGTCATCGACGCCGCCTCCACCGGCATGACCTACACGCAGCTCTTCACCATCGCGCGCTACATGGAGCACCGGGGCTACCCGCTCCGGGCCTTCAAACTGGCCTCGCTGGCTATGACTCATCTCAACCTGGCCTACAACCAGGACACGCACCCGGCCATCAACGACGTGCTCTGGGCGTGCGCCTTGAGCCACTCGCTGGGCAAAAACGAGCTGGCGGCCATCATCCCGCTGGTGGTGAAGAGCGTGCACTGCGCCACGGTGCTCTCGGACATCCTTCGCCGCTGCACCATGACGGCCCCAGGCCTGGCCGGCATCCCCGGCCGCAGGAACTCGGGGAAGCTGATGTCGACCGACAAAGCGCCCCTGCGGCAGCTGCTGGACGCCACGATAAGCGCCTACATCAACACCACGCACTCCCGGCTCACCCACATCAGCCCGCGGCACTACGGGGAGTTCATCGAGTTCCTCAGCAAGGCCAGGGAGACCTTCCTGCTCGCGCAGGACGGGCACATACAGTTCGCCCAGTTCATTGACAATCTCAAACAAATCTACAAAGGCAAGAAAAAACTGATGCTGCTGGTGCGAGAACGGTTTGGGTGAGCCCCGGCCGCTGCCGCTGGCACTGGCAGGGTCCGGCCACGGCCCAGGGACACGGGAAAGAAGAAGGAACAAAAGCGGAGAACACCTTCCCCAAACGGCAGAGGCTGCTCTGTTCTGTTCGTTTATTTTTTTTTATTTTTTTCTTTTCTTTCTTTCTTGGATTTGACCATTTCACACGCTGAGAGGATCCAGAGATTCTTTGGGCACAAACCAAAAGGCAACCACGGGAAATGGTTTGCTCAGCCCTGGCCCTCCCTTGCCAATACCAAAAGCTAACCTGGAAATCTAATACCTCTTTCCTGACGGAAGCGGCTGCTGGAGGGATCCGAAGGTTGCAAAGTTCAAAAATCTTTAAAGTTACGTGGAGGGATAAAAAATAAAAGAGTGAGCAAAGAAACCCGCAACACTAGAACCTCATGCGTCACCAAAAGCGATGGCTTTGCAGAGTGCTTCTCCCGCCCGCCCGAGACATGCAAACTCCTCTATTTGTGAAGATACTTCAATAAAAACAAGTTAAAGTAACTGTTCTCAGGGATTGCTTACTAAAAGTAACACAAAAAAAGCATTTATGATACTGTAAATACTATAGTATATGTGTCAATTATTAAATTGTAAAGTTATAATTATTTATAATTCTGTCTTTTATTTGGGGGATACTTGAAATTGTCGTGGGCTGGGACGATTATTTTTATTATTGCTATTATTATTATTATCAGCTATTATTTAAACAAACAAACCACCACCACCGCAGCGAGGAGAAGGCACGCGAGCGTTTCTCAGGTTTCCACGGCATCGGCGGCAGCGAGAAGGGAGTGGGGGGAGGCGACCGCCCGCTCGACCCGCAGCCCCGCACGGACGGACGGACGGACGGACAGAGCGGCCACGCGTGAGGACAGCGAAGGAAGGGACTTGGCAGCGCCCGCTGGGACGCGCACGGACGCCGGCCTCGCCGCGGGCCCCTCTCCAGCAGCGCCCAGCCCCTCGGCACGTTCGTTCTTTCCGTGTCGGAGCTGCGGCCAGGCCGAGCTCTCGCCCAGCTGCAGGACAAGCCCTGCATGGGGATGGACTCTCTCTGGGGCCCCTGGCCAGCAGCTTGTAGGTTTAGTTCATTTTTTTCCTGAAGGGTTGGGAGGGCTGGGGGGGCCGGGGCCAGTCTGGATGGTGACTTGTAGTTAGAGAACGTGGGCTAGTTATCTACTGTCTGGTTTGATTTACAATTTTTTGGAAAGTGACTCGTGTCCGCGCTCCGGCCAGGAAACCAATTGTACTCGGTATCTGTTGCCACCGAAATAGCATTCTTCAAGCAGTCTGTTTCTCTCCTTTTTCTTTTGTTTCCTTTTTTTTTTGCGTGCGTGCGTGTATGTGTGTGTGCGACCTCTTCATCTGATGTTTAATAATAAAAGGGATGGACGTTACCGCATGTTTCTCTACTGCCTTTATCTGAAGCCGGAGGGGTTTCCGTGCGGGGCGCAGGTGCCGCGGGCCGGGATGGGGCTGCCCTGGCTCTCCAGGACACCCCGCATCCCTTCCTTGCGGAGGGGCAGAGCGCAGCGAGACACCCTGATCACCCTGGTGTAATTCCCACGTGCGCCCGGCACCAGCAATCCGGGTCTGAGGGCAGGACGGCCCTGGCCGCGCCAGCGGGAGCAGCGTTGGAGCGAGCACTGGCCTCGTCCTGATGGATCCTGCAGCCTCCTTTGACCGCAGTGAGTGGGCCGGGGTTGGGGATGTTATGGGTGGCACAGTCTCCTATCCTCAGTCATCTGGCGGCTACCAGCACCCCCAGGTGCTTGCTGAGCCCCCCCCATTGCTCTTGCTGGAGGGAGGCTGTGGAAAACTAAGCCACAGCAGGGCCATGCCATGAGGCCACCAGGAGCATTGGCAGTGGTCACAGTGAGCCTGTAGCAGAGGTGGGATGTGATTCCCAAGTCCCTGGGGCCCACGACAACTCTTGTCCCTTTGCTGGGCTGAGCCTCTCCTTAGTGCCTGGAACTGGAGCAATTCCTGTCCAGGGCTGGAGGGGGATGGCTGGACCCAGGCTGGGCCTTGGTGCCAGGCTCTTAGGGCTCCCAAGAAACTGCTTTACAGATCAGAGGGAATGGGTGTCCTTGGAATTCCCCTGTGCCCCATCCCAGGCACGAGCCTGGGCTCAGCTGCTCCACGTCACCCTCACAGACTCCACTAGGCTGGCAGCAAAGCCCCTCTGCTCTGCAGCCAACAACCTCCCCTTCCCCAGCCCAGCCAGAGCCACACGGCTGCCACAGAGAAGGTGCTGGTTTAATGCCACCCCCAACCTCAAACAAGCCCTGCAGCCATGCGGGGCCAGGCTCCAGCCACAGTCCTGTCCCTGCGCCCTGGGGCTCAGCTGTGCTTGTTCATGTGGCGGGAGTGTGCGTGCACGGCCTCCACGAAGGCACCCACGTGCTCCGGGCTCATGTCAGGGTAAAGGCCATGGCCCAGGTTGGCAATGTAGCGTTGAGTCCCGAAACCCTCCAGCATCTTCTTCACCAGCTCCCCAATCTTCTCCTGCAGGCACGGTGGGAAACCATGTGTCAGCCCCATCGACCCTGGGGTACCTGCGGCCCCGTGCCATAGGGCAGGGCACAGGTTAGTCCTACTGGGACAGGAGCCAACTTTCCAGGTAGGGAAACATAGGCAAGGAGGCCTTTAAACCAGGTCAAAACTAACCTCTTTTGCTGGCCACAGCCATCACTCACCTTGGGCGCATAGAGGGCACAGGGGTCCAAGTTCCCCTGCAGGGTGATGTTCTTGCCTATCTGTGCACTGCAGTGGGGAAGAAGCAGGTGAGTTGCTGTGTGTGGCTCAGGAGAAGGGGCAGCCTGGCCCGATCCAGACCTCACCATTGGGCAGCTCCTGGTTGCTCTTAGCTCCACACGGCACCGGGGCCTGGCTCTCCCCACCTCTGGGTCAGAAATCCCCAGGCTGTGACAGCTCAGAGCAGAGGAGGTGCCGGGGCAGCCAGCCTAAGGTGCAGCGTGGGCACGAGAGCGCTCTGCCAGACTCTTACCGAGCGTCCTGTGGCCGGATAGTCCAGTCCAGACCAACCACCTCGTAGCCGGCACAGGCCAGATCTGCCAGCGCGTAGTGCGCGTCCTTCGCAAAGACAATCTGGGGAGGAAGGAGACGGGCAGCGACCCTGCTCCGGCCAGGCCCCTCGCCACAGGCTGGCACAGGAGATGCTGGGGACAACAGGGGCCACCCAGGAGGACACGAGAGATACCAGGAGCTGCAAGGGGGGGAGCTGTCGTGGGGCTCCTGCTGCAGGCTGGAGGAGCAATGCCTGCAAGGTGGTCAGTGCCCAGTGCTGAGCGCCCGGGACAGGCTGGTGGGGGCTCCCTGCAGACCCTTTGTCTAGGAGGGTCCCTGCTCACAGTTTGGCTGTACCCTGCAGCAAGGAATTCCCAGACACCCAGGCATGGCTTTCTGGCCTGTTCTCATCCCAGCTCTTCCCCGTGGCTGGGACAGAGCACCATGGTTCTCCTACTCCCCACGAGTAGGAGGCAACAGGACTGCCTTGGGCAGCCCCAGACTCACCATGGGCACTAGGGGTAGTGCCTCAGACTTCAACTTGCTCTTCACGCCCCGGGCGATGTCTCGGATGTAGGGCAGGGCAAAGTCCTGGAACTGCTCTGGGCCCAGGTGCCCCGCGTGGGACTCGAAGAGTTGCAGCGCCTGTCGGAGATGCAGGGCTGGGAGAGCCACGGGCACCACGCACCCCAGTCCTTCCTCCTCTTGCTCCCAGCTGCTGGACCCCCGTTACTTCTTGTCCCTAATCTCTGCCCTCCTGCCTCCTGGACTCGGCCCTGGGACACACCTGCGCTCCGGCAGCCACCTGCCCCACCAGGTAGTCAATGATGATGTTCGTGAGCAGCCGCAGCAGTCGGTGGCTCGCGTCGGGGTGGCGATAGAGCCAGCTCTTGGCCTTGGCCATCGTAGTGGAGCCACCACCTTCAATCATGTAGGACATGAGCGTCCACTGTGGGAAGGAGAAGAGAAGGTGAAGAGGGAGATGGAAGATGTGAGGGACCAGTCCTGGGCTCAGTGCTGAAGGTAGGACCTGTGAGCACCCCACAGCCTGAGGCTGAGCTGCTGCCACATCAAACATCCCCTGCCCTACACAGGATGAACTACACTACCAAAGTCAATCCTCCCAGCTCTGGGGGTGCCAGGAAAGGCATCATCCCAGAGGAAGGGGTGGGGAAGACCATGCCCAACTAGAAATTCCACCTCGTGGAGCACCAGCACTTACAGGTGCCCCAGAGAAGCCGATGAGGGGCACCTTGCCCTCCAGGCTGTGCCGTGTCAGTGTGATGGCCTGGAAGACGTAACCAAGCTCCGCAGTCACATCCACCTTCTGCCGCAGTTTCAGCAGATCCTCCACCTCCTTCAGGGGCTCTGGGAAGGTGGGTCCTTTGCCGGGTGTCATGACAACATCCATGCCTAGTGCCTGGGGATGGGGAAGAGAAGAGGAAGGAATGGGGCAGTTTTGGACCAGCCCCTTTCACAGGCACTGCTTCCCATCACTGCTAGCCATAGCACTCACCTGGGGCACCACCAGGATGTCGGAGAAGATAATAGCAGCATCCAGGGGGAATCGTCTGAGTGGCTGCAGGTGGCAGAGGGGAAGAAGCAGTGTTAGTGAAGGACCCAGGCACCCTTCCCACAGAGGGTTCAGACCTGCACACAGCCAGCCCAGGTAACGGGGTCCCTGAGGCAACTCAGGAAACTGCCTGGTTAGGGGTGGCTGCACGGCCCCTTCTACCCTGTCCCATCCCAGTGGGTCGCTCCGTGACTGCCAAAGAGCCAGGCTTTAGGCTACACAACTTCCTGGAACATGCAGCCACCCAGAGCGGGAGGCAGCAAAAGACGCCTGTCCTGATCTAGGAGAAGACAGAGGACAAACTGACCCCCGCCGAGGGCCTGCTCACCTGCAGCGTCAGCTCACAGCACACCTTGGGGCTCCGGCAAGTGGCAAAGAAATCCTGCGCAGCCCGTGTCTCCCGAAACTGCGCCGCGGCCCCTCCCCGCCGCCCGCCTGCGCCCGCTGGCTGCTCACCGGGCAGGTAGCGCCCTGCCTGCCGCATGCACCACACCGGCGTGTACTCGGTCTCCTCGCCACGGGCCGCTCGCAGGAACGTGTCATTCTTCAGCTTGGGGAAGCCCTTGGGGCTATAGGAAGGAGGAGAAAGAGGTTGTCATCAGAGAGGGACCAGCTGCCGCTTAACCCTGGTGCAGAGGGAGACCAGGCACAAGCAGGGCAGAGCGGGCAGGGTGGTGCCTTGCACGGGGTCATTAACACTCCGTCCTGCCTCTTGCGACACTACAGGAGACCCCTTGGTGCTCCAAGGGGAAGGAGATCTTGGAGGCGGGAGCCCAGCCTGGTGCTTTTCCTGCTCATGGCCAGGAGGGTGAGCAGAGCCAGGCTGATCTCCGGGCACAAGCCAGGAGACAGCCCTGGGACGGCAGCACTTGCAGGGCCGCGTGGGGCCCGGCCAAAGCCCCAGGACCCCCAGGGCAGCGCAGGGGCTCCCTGCGGGTGGGCAGCGCCTTGCCCAGGGCCCTGCGAGATTAGGTTATCAGGAGCAGCAGCTGCTCCCGCTCGGAGAGATTCCGGGTCCCAGTGTGCGCCTGGTGCTCCCAGCCCCTATCTGCGACCCGCAGGCCTGGGCTGGCAGCATGGGGCTGAGCCCCCGCGAACAGACAAACTCAGTGCATGTGCTGCTTGTGGGCAGCCTCGGAGCGCCATCAGGCAACAGGGCATCTCCGGCCCCTTCCTAGAGGGGTCGGCACCCGCGGAACGAAGCTGGGACAGCCGCGTGGAGCAGGCACAGAGACCCCGGCCCTGCGGAGTCCCCAAGCACGGGACAGCCCCGGCCTCGACATGGGACAGGCCAGCGCTGTCCCCCTGCGCATGGCCTGGGGCTGAGGAGACATGTCCCCAGAGAGCCATCCCAGGGCAGGACCCCTGTCCCCAAGGCTACACCAGTGTCGCCGGGGCCACCTGGCGGAGGGCCCAGTGCCGCTCCAGTGTCCCCAGTATCGCACCGTGTCCCCAGCACGGGACTCCAGTTTCACGCCGGTGTCGCACCAGCGGTGGGGGTACAGAGGAGGCGGCTGGATTCGCTTCCTTCCCATGCCCCCCGCTTCCCGCCGCCCCGGAGGGGTCGCGGTGCGGAACGGCGGCGGGGATGGGCCCCCCCGGGAACCCGCCCATTACA